AGCTATTCTACAGTGACTTAAAGAAAAACTTTTCTAATCTGTCCTCTCCTTCGCTGCTTCCCATCATGGTTTACTCCAGGAAGTCCTTCCTGTAGTGAAAATTAAGTCTTCCCAAGCAGCGAAGCCCTTTCCTAACAGTGAAGGAGGATGGCTCATGGGGCTGGCACAGCTCCTGGGCTGACATCAGACCGTAGTGTCAGAGTCATATTCACTGCCAGGTCACTTGTGCCATCACCCCCAGCCCTCCACTTCCAAAAGTAATTGCAGAACCGTTCATTCACTTTTTCTTAGTGAGGGCTTCCTTTTGGACAAGTCATCTTTTTTGGTCCAAAAATGAGATGTGGAGTAAAACTCGCCCAGTGACCACTGTGGTTTAGAAAGAATGATGACGGCCCCAGGGAGCAAGAGCCAGGCAGCTGGTCCACGGGCGGCGTCCAGGAAGTTCAGGCTCTCAGCCGTCCTAAAGCCTCTCCCCTACCTAGCTCTGCCCCTCCTGAGGGGCTCTTTGCCTCCCTGGGTCCCTGGAAAACAGCATACAAGGAGCAAGAATGGGATGGCTTCCGGGAAGGCCTGGGGAGGCCAGCTTGTTGGTTTCCATCTGACTTCCTGGTCACCTGGTCCATGCTGTAAGAGATGTCATTCTTGGGAGACTATAAAAATTGTCAGCTTTAGGGGCTACTTCCTACTAGAAAGTAAGTTTTACTGCTAGGAAGTTAGAGTCTGCACACCCCCCAGCCAGAGGGAATGGCTTCAAGAAAGTGCCCATGATCCCCAGGCTCCTGGAAGTTTCCAGAGGCTTGGGGACACCACTGCCATGTTCCTGGTGGAACAAGGCAAGGGATTCCCGAGCTGGAAAACCGGCTTTCAATCCCTGGTTCCTGGACAGTTCAAGCAGGGATGTGAAACTCTGGATGTTGAAAATGTCACTGAAGACACCAAATGTGCTCATCACCTCTTTATGGGGCCAGGGTGTCTGGCCAGAAACAGCTCTGTCTGGGTCTAGACAGAGCAGCATCCGCCTGGCGTGGGGTGTGATGAGCCCCGGGAGGAAGCTGTGGAGAAGGTAATAATGCTGTGTGCTTAGCCAGCATCTTCCCCCCAGGGGGCTCCCACTGCTGCCATAGTAGTTCCTTCCACAGAAAAGACCTGTAGACTGTCCCCAGAGACCCAGCCCCTTCATCTCCATGAAGACAAAGCCTCTAGAGGTCTGGAGACTCAGGCGTGACCGGAAGTAGCTGCAAAATCAAGTCCTGGGGCTCGTCTGGGACAGAGACCAGGGCTTCGACCTCGGGGCTCAGCCTCAGCCCAGGAGCGCAGTAGGCAGGGAGGCAGGGACGAAGGGGCATGTGGCAAGGACTGATCACCACGGCGAGGGGTGCAGCCCCGGATGAATTTCTTCTGTTGCTAAGTAAGGAACCCACGTGGTCCCAGGACTTCTAGGACAGGCTTTAAATCCTGGCTGTGCCATTCCCTGGTGGAGTGACTTTAGCCAAAGGAAGTGGAGGATGATTTATTGGATGCCTAAATGTGCCCAGCCCTGCGCCCTCCTTGGAGCCCAGCTGTCCAGCTCCAAAGCACATCTGTCCGTAAGCACATCGGGGCTCCGCGTGGAGCCGGAAGACCGGGGTTCAAGGCAGAGCTATGTGACTCACGGAGGTCTCTTCCATTCTCCGGGCCTCAGTTCCTCTTTCGGGAAATAGAATAACCTCTCCTCTGCTGACCCCCTAGATAGTGGTGAGATTAAAATGAAGTAGTGTGGTGCGAGAATGCTCTCTAATATCAATGCGTATGATAAACAGGTAGTTTTCAGGCCCTCTGATCTTTGGGACCATCTGAGGGAGGTTTTTTGAAAACACAGATTGCTGATGGTCTCAATCAATGGCCCTGAGAAACTGTATCTTTAAAAACACCCCAGTGTACAGGCAGGTTTGTGAAACAGCTCATATTTACAAATGTCAGAGATGAACACCATTTCTCCAGACCTCAGGGATGTCAAACTTTTGCTTCCTCTTCTTGTCCCGGCTAAGATGTGGCCAGCCCTGGCCCTGCCCGTGGTCTCCATCCATGAAGTTCTCCATTCCATTCCTTTGCTGATGTAACTTGATCACCTCTCAGCGCCTCCCAGCAAAGACCCAGAGAAGGAGAAGAGGGTAGGAAAGAGGAGGGTCTGATCCAATGCATAGATTGCCTTCAGTTACCCACACCGCGTGAGCAGGCATGGAAGCCAGCCAAGGCACAAGGCTGAGAACCAGCCAGAGTTTGAATAAGCCGATGACGTATGCAGGTGATCGCTCACCCTTTTGCCTCTGGCTAGTAAAAATGTGTTGGTTGAATCCCAAGGCATACATCTTGTATTTATTTGACTGGCTTTACATGTGTTTTCCTAACCCTGCTGGATATTTTCTGGAGTGGGGGAAGAAAGTCTGGGACAAATTTTTATGTTTGAAATTCCAAAATATCCTCACCCAGTGAGGAGCACCGTGACATGGGTGATTCCAGACAAGAGATTCTTAAAAAGTCATTGCCATTGGTTTGAGGGTGAGTGGCACAGAGCACCCCCCACCCCCCCGCCGCCGCCAATTAAATTTACCTTCCAAGTTTGCCTCAGCTTCACATAATCTCAGTGCTGGTTAACACCCTGGGAGAATGGTTGGCTGGGAGGTCAGAGCCGACTCACAGCTGAAAAGTCAGGCTTTGAGGGCTCCTGGGTGTCAGCTTGAGGCCAGACAAATCTTATAAACGAGGAGACTGAGGGCCACCAAAGGGCCATGACGTGCCGATTCCCAAATCCACCATCCTTCCTCAGAGTACGCTGCCTCTGTACTTCTGGGTTTTGGCTGTTTTTATCCACTCATTTTGCCGTCAGCAAATATTCACTGAACCCCTGTGATTCAAGGAGTGCCTCGCAGCCCAGTTTTTGGCACAGGGTGGGGGTGTAGTGTTTGTGGGTGAAGGAGGCCTGCGTTTGCATCCTATTGCTGCTACCCAGCTGGGGGACCCTGGGCAAGTCGCTTGGGTTTCTAAGCCTCTGTTCCTTATTTGTCCCTCGGGGAGTTGGGGCACTCAAACTGTAAGGGCCCTTCCAGTGTCTAGGCTTCTGCAGGTCAGACTCAGCGTTACATTTAAGCTGTGTAAACGGGAAGGCCAAGAGCCCTGCTCAGAGAAGAAACGTCACTGGCTGGGAGGCCCTGAGAGTGTCCCAGAAAGGAAAGGGCAGAGCGAGAGCCGCCCTCTCCCTTCCGCAAGGTCACAGCGGCAGAGGGGAGCCAAGCAGAGAGGCGGCCTCGCCCGCCCCGCCCCCCGGAGGAGCCAGACGGAGGCCGGGCCAGGGCTGCTTATTTATAGCCTGTGCTCCTCCGGGCCTGGGCTGGACAGTCCGGGGGTTAAAAAGGCCGCCCTGGAGGAGACGCTGGGGGGTATGGGCTTGTGGGGAGGCCACCTGCTGAATCGAGTGAGAGAGGTTGGTGCCGCCCACCTCTTCCTGAGAGGCTCTGTCAAGTTCCCAGGTGCCAGGGTCTGGGAGGTGACAACCATGGCTGTCCCCTGGGCCTTTGGTTCTTCTCCTGGGTCTGTCGCTGCAGGTTTGCCGTCACTGGCTCAGTTTCCGCCTCACTCCTCACTCTAGACCCTCCTGAGGCCTGAAGACCCAAGCTTCTCCTGGTCCTAAAACCACAGCTAGGAAGCAAGGGCCTTCCTGCCCCGTTTTCCTGACGGCTTCCCTGTCTGAGTCCTTACAGCTCACGCCCGCAACCCCAGGCCCTGGGCATGGGAGCACGGGCCCTAGACGGCCGGCCGCTGGCCAGGTTCCCCGGTTCCAGCCCGGGCTTCAGATGAGGAACTGTGGTCAGAGGCGCTAAGCGGCCCCAGCGTGCCCCCTAAGGCTCCCTCACTGCACCTCATTCGCTGCCTATCTTGCTTTCTCCAAATCAAGCCTGGAGACCTCGACCTCTCACACCCAATTCCTTCCTCGCAAACCCTCCCAAGCACGGAGCACACCAGCCACCAAACAGGGAGAACTCACTGCCCCTTCTTGGAAGCCCACGGCCTGGCCCTGCCCCCTGTGTGAGCCAGAGTCCCTCCGCATCACTTCCAGGCACTCACTGACTGGCTGCCCAGCTGTTAAGTGGCAACAGTGAAGGTGCCAGAAAAAAAATGGTCTTCTTAGCTGCTTTGGGTTGTCTCCGGGAAAGTGGGGTGGGAGGTGACAGTGTGAGGCCAAGTGAGACTCTGCAGGGGAACTCTGCGGTTGAAGCCTGGGGGAGGAGGAAATGGAAGTGAGGCGGGGAGGAGGAAATGGAAGTGAGGCGGGGCTCCGGTGAGATCCCCTAGAAGACAGATCATGAAGAGGCCAGACAGCTATTTTTCATTATTATGTAACAAATATTTGAGTAGCCACCATGTGCCAGGCACTGAGCCAGGTGCTAGGGATGCAAAGATAAATTGGAGTCGGCTTTGCAAGGAGCTTGGTTTAACAGGCGCTGTGATACAGGTACTGAGAAGGGAGGCCCGGGGAGGGGGCGGGGCGCCTGGAGACAGCTGAGTATGAAGGAGGGCTAGGTGCGGAGCAGGTAAAGCCGCCTCAGCCAGGGCCTCGCACTGGAATCACCTGGGGAGCTTTTAAAACACCTCGCAAAGCCCTGGTCACATCCCTGACCAATTAACTTAGAATCTCAGGGGATGGAACCTGGCATCAATATTGGAAATCCCAAAGTGAAGCCAAAGTGGGGACCACTGGTTTATGGGATAATTTATGTCTCCGGTTTGCAGGGGAATGGAACGGCTAGAAGAATGACTGCTGTTGGTTGGTTGTTTTTAATACTGAGCCTTCTTATTCACACTTCCTAGGAAGCTGTGAGAATTGCCTTTTGGATTTGGGTCTGGGAGGAACAGGAAGGAGGGAAGAGGGAAGGCAGGAAAGGGGAGGGGAGAGGAGGAATTTGGTGCTGTGGCATCCAAGCTTGTAGTGACATTGTCACAAACCACGCCTCCCTTACTGCCAGGACCTCCTGCAGAATTCCCCCAATTCCATGTCTGGAGTCTCCAATAACCCCCAAGGGATTGTGGTCCCAGCCTCAGCGCTCCAGCAGGGCAACATCGCCATGACAACCGTCAACTCACAAGTGGTGTCAGGTCTGTGCAGGGGACTGGGGGGAACAGCCCTGGGAGGAGCGTGGGTGACCCCCAGGGGAATTCCAGGGGTGGGGTCAGGACACTGAACAAAACGTCCCAGGAAATGGGAGGAGGTGCCCTGCCAAGGGAGGGGCTTCCAGCTGAGTTTCTTGACTAAAGTGTTCTGTAAGCTTGTAGATAGTTAGCACCAAGGCCTGACTGTGATGGTTTGGAACAAATTGGGGTCAAAGTCTCTTGAGCCCCTCAAAGACCAAGTAAAGCTATTGTCCCTTCCCCAAACCACACAGACTCTGCTCCCTGGACCCCATCCCCCATCCCACCCCTCGTCCACAGGGGCTGAATGCCTCCAGAGTAGTGTTTATACGTGAGTGCCTAGTGGATGGGGAACCCTGCCTGCCCTCACGCCTACCCATCCGTATGGCAGAAGACCCCACAACTGGTTGTCTCCTCAGGTGGAGCTTTATACCAGCCGGTTACCATGGTAACCTCCCAGGGTCAGGTGGTCACCCAAGCAATCCCCCAGGGAGCCATCCAGATCCAGAACACACAGGTGAGTGTGTGTGTACAGTGTAGGTGCGTGCACCTGTGCATGGGCCCGGGGGAGGGCAGCTGTGACGGTGCACTCTCTGCTAGGCACTTTACACAAGTACCTCCTTCATCCTCATCAGTCCTCTCAGAGGTGTCATTACCCCCACTTCACAGATAAGAAGCTGGGTGTTGGCAAGGTTTTATCAACTCCTGGGACTTTGCTGCCTCTCAGGGTTACATCAAGGGATCCCGCACGTCCTATTCCTGGTCTCCGCCCCAAGCCACTCTGTAGCTCAGTGGGATGGCGTGTGCACAGGCAGGGAGGAGGGGAGTGAGAAGATCTGAAGTCAGAGACCCAAGATCTGACATTAGCTGTGCTATCTTGGATAAGTCACCTAGCGTCTCTGAGCCTCGGAGTTCCTATCCATAGAAGAGGGGTTAATACCAACTGCACACAGCCCTACGCCAGCCCACAGGGCTGTTGGGAGGGCTCACCGTGGTACTGGATAGGAAAGTGCTCTGCAAACTGTAAAGTACCCCAGAAATGCTAGTAACTACTGGGTGGTTTATGGCAAACCTCTCTCTTCTATGCCCTCTGCATGGCCCTGTTTCCTCTGAGTTCTGTCTCCCCCCATATCTCCCCCGCCCACTTCCTCCTCTCCTTCTCCTTCTTCCCATCTCACACTCTCTGAGGGGCTGGTACCGGGCGACAGGAAAGGTGACCTCCCGAGGGCCCTGAGAATGAGTTGGGGAAGGGGATTGGCAGGCAGAGCCTGCCGTCACTATGGCAACAGGTCCCTAGCTGCTGGCCCGCCAGGCTGCTGATACTGATTTTTTCTCCACGTGCCCTGAAGGTTAACCTTGACCTCACCTCCCTCCTGGACAATGAGGATAAGAAGTCCAAGAACAAACGAGGAGTCTTGCCCAAGCATGCCACCAATATTATGCGTTCTTGGCTCTTCCAGCATCTCATGGTGAGTGTGTGTGTGTGTGTTGGGGGTGTGGAGCTGCAGCAAGGGGTATGAGTAACCCCTTGGGCACCGGACTCTCCTGTCGTCCCCTAACCTGCAGAGGACGTGGCCTCAGAGAAAGGCCCTCTGATAGGGATACCACCTTCCAGAGGCCAGGTCAGAGGGCGGCTTACAGGGGGCCTAAAGCTGGGAGACTCTCATGCTTTCTCCTGCTGCCTCAACAAGAGTGTGACATCAGATGTGGGAATGGGGACAGACACATTATGAAGATAGTTAAATGCTGGGCAAGTCTACAGGATTGTTTTGTGAATAGGGTGAGGGTACGTGGGGGCTGGGGCTGTGGTTCCTGGCCCAGAGCCCTCCTCCCACGGGCTGCTGAGCGCACCCCTGCCCTCTCCCGTGGAAGACAGTGCTGATTCTGCACCAGGACTCTTCTGTCTCCCGAGTCCTCAGTGCTGGGGGCGGCAGAGCGTGTGCGTCCCTTTCCCTCTGATCAGAACAGCCAGAGAGGGCACAGACTGAGGGGCAGTGGTTGAGCCCACCCAACCCAGAGGAGCAGCCCAGGCTGAAATCCCGGCCTCATGTGGCCAACTAGGCTCTGAGACACAAAGCTCTGGCTTTCAGGAGCCCCTGTGGCCACTCTCATAGAATGGCAACACAGCCTCAGATTTAATGTAATGTTCATAAAGGTGCACCTGCCGTGCACACCTACCATGATGGTGGTTGTGTTTGTGTGCAGTGTTAGTTGCAACAGACAGACCTGGGGTTGAATGTCAGGAATGACTTCAAAACTGTAACCTCCTAGTACTATTCAAGGGCTTTAGCAGTAAAGAAAGCCAGTGACTCTGGGCTGATTTTGTGTGTGTGTGTGTGTGTCTGTGTGTCTGTGTGTCCATGTCTGGGGTGGGGAGGTAGATTCAGCGAGCACAGGAGGGCTCCCAGTGGTCTGCAAGCTCTTGGTCTGGCAGTAGCAGGCACACAGACAGAAGACGAGTGCCAAGCCGGGGGCCGTGGACATGTTCACCTGCAAAGTGTGGAGAAGAACCAGGAGCTGGGGGAACTCTGTCTTCAAAGAGAGGGAGAGAAGTCCAGTGGACCATGGGAACTAATTAATCAATCAGTCCATCATCAGCCCTTCATTTGAAATGGGAGTGCCTCCAGAAGCCACAGAGCCTAGACCCGGGCAGCGCTCAGATTTGGGAATCTTAGGATCTCTGGCCTGGAAGCGGGGGTCCGGCCCACCCAGTGGACAGCCAGGTGCTGGACGCGGAGCCAGAGCTCTGCATCTCCCACCAGTATCCACACCCCATCCCTGGGGCGGGAGGACTTGGGGCCATCCCAGCACTTTGCTGAGGAAGCACATTTTGAAAGCACCACCTCAGGAACAAACAATAACCAAATTGGGAGAGAAGGGACTGGAAGGCTGAGGGTTAAGGTGCAGAGAGAGGGTTGGAGTCTCTCCCGCAGCCCGGTGACAGAGCCAGGGAGCCAGGGCCAGGCGCAGCCTCCGCCTCTTGCTCTGATTTAGTATCTGGAGCTCGTGGTGGGGGTGCCCAGGTGGCCCGCCTGTTCTCTCTTTCATGCTGTCGGAGAGCCAGAGGGCTCGGAGGGACCTGGTGGCCCCGAGAGCCCAGCGTCCGTGCTAGGCTCCCAGCCCCACCCCACCCCCACCCCCCGGAAGAGGGCCTCCCCAGGGCAGGCTCCGTCTCCGTGTTCTGACTTGTCACATCCAAGTTGGGGTCAGCCAAGCTACCTCCCACCGCCAGCCAGGGATCTGGTGGGGCTTGTGCGTGGTGGTGTGATGAGGTGTCCCTGCAGGGCCGCGCGGATGGTGGGAAGCTCGTGGGCTTTTCAGGCTGCCAAACCTGGGTTCAGATCTAGGCGTTGCCTCTTACTCTGTGATCTGGCCACACTCACCTCTTGTGAAAATGCCGAGGAAGCCATGAAATAAGTGTGAAGGCCCTGCCACACCGCACATGTCTTCATAAATGTTACTTCCCTTCGCTTCCTCTGCCCACTCCCACCCCCAGGCATGTTAGGACCTACAGCCTCACCTCTGAGGGGAGAGAAGGCAGGTGGAGGAGGGAGGCCGGGCTGCAAGACCAGTCCCCCGCCAGGAGCCCCGTGTTCCGGGCTCACTGACTCCCGCCACCTCAGCACCTCCCGCTCCCCGATTACAACTCACCCGCGAGTTACGTCTCCGGCCTGAGCAGGAGAGTCTCACTACCAGCCTCCCGGGCTGTGCCTCCCCTCTGACCTCGGACCTCAGCTCACGCCCTGCCCTCTGGCCCACTTCCTGGTGAGCCCCGTCTAGGACCCAGGGTCTTTGTCTCCCCCTCCATGGCCACCTGCAGCCGGGCGTGGGAGGGCAAGGAAGGAAGAGGTGGGGAAGATGGGTAGCAGCTGACACCAAGCAGAGGGGAAAGAGACCCAGGTTAGCTCTGCAGGAGGGACCTGGAAGGATGCAGGGGACTTGTGAACAGCAAGCCAAGGTTTTTGCCAGCCCCTCCCAATAGGCCTTCCAAGTCAGAACTCAGAACTCCTGGAAGAGGGGGAGGAAGGGGAGCAGGGGAAGTCCAGGCTCTAGGGACTGAGCGTAACCCAGCTGTCCTCTGTAGACCAGGGCTGGCTCCCCGGATACAGGTGGGCACACCCCCGCCCCAACCGAGCCCAGCTCAGGACAGAAGCTGTAAAGGCTCTAAGTAACAGGACACAGTGGAAGGAAGACAGATTTTGAAACCAGGCAGCCAGGGTGTGAACTGAGGTCTTTGCACTGGCTGGGCAATCACTCTAATTCTGGTTCTTTGAAAAAGGAGGTAATATCCATTTCCTCTGGTTGTGAACATTAAATAAGATAATGTATATGAAGAGTCAAGCCTGATACACAATTGCACTTAAAAATTTGTGAGTTCCTTTTGAACTTTCTAGAACAGTGGACCAAGAGCCAGTTTTTGAGGCTAAGGCTCAACATTTGTGAAGATTATTTAGAGGTAGATGGCTGATCTATTAACACCTCCTGATTTTTATCATCATTTGACCCTAAGGATATATTGACTAATACTGTCACTCACCTGCTGTGTGTGTATCTGGGTGTGTCAGACCTACGTGTTTGGTAGCTCTGACTCAGCTGTGAATTGCGCAAGAAAAAGGATCACACGTGATACCTCTTCAGTGGCCCTAAGCATTGATTCCCAAAGTGCGTCCCTTTACAGGATGTTATAAGTGTTGCTCCCAAGAAAGGATTCTGTGATGAAATAAGTTTGGGAAAATCTGGGTTAGACACAGTTTAGCTTATTTCTTTACCCTTAGTGTCCTAGGGGGCGCTGTGAGTGTGCAGGAGAGGGCGTGAGGCTTTCCCCAAGCATTTGATCTCTCTGAGTCACTCTTGTTTGCACTGATGCTTTGAGGAGCAACTCTAAGACTGTAGTGCTTGGGGAAATACAATTCTGTGGTAACATTGGATCACACACGTAGCAGCTCATCAGTTTTAGGAAGAAAAGAGTGGAAAGGGTAATGAAAAAGGGCTGATCTCAATATACAGCAGATGTTCTTATACCCAGTGCAGAGGGGACAACTAATTTGTTGACTAGTTAATTGGAAAAGTCAGTTGAAGAAAGGAACAATCATTAAAAAATGTCTTTTTAAAAGGCACACATAGTATATTTATCTGCTAATGTTGTGCTAGAAGGCCAAGGTCGTTTTCTGACTAACGCTTGTCATTTTACTTGCACAAACCTCTCCTATACTATAACATCTATACGTTTCATCTTTATTTAAAATGGAGCAAGAACGTGGGCGTTTGGGAAGTAATGTGGCTGCAGGATCTTTCTAGCTTTTTATTGTTTCCCAGTCTCTTACACTTGTCTCACCTGATCCTAACTTTTAAGCACATTTGAGCTGGAGTCTTTCCAAAGCATGCCACTTAGTTTCCTTAGCAACAATAACTCTTTGCGCTCATGTTTCATTGGTTTACAGAATGGTTAATTCAATTACATGGTGACAGTAACACGTGTAACTGGCGTAAACGATTCTGAGTACAAACACTGCTGACTTCCTGATCAGCAGATACGTTGGCTAATGAACATTCTACAAAGTAACCTATTCGTCTTAAGCCTTCAGGACAATGTGGACAGCAGTTCTAAGTGTTGGCAGAAGAAAGGGAGAGCGTCGTATAATCTGAAGACATGCTTAATAGCGATTGGTTATTGGAACTCCCACTGTAAATGCTGGCGTTTCCTGCCGTCTTTCCCTCAGGCGGAAGTTAGTATTCCTTGATTCCTTTTGTCGTGTGTCTGAGGCTTCTTGTCATTTCTACTGTTCTGCAGCATTAACAGCTACGGAAATATATTCAGATGACAGCCTGCTCCCGAGACGGAGGTTAAACCCCAGAGCCTTTTTGCCGTTAGGCTGCGGTGAGATTGGGCTGGTTTCATCCGTTAGTTCCTTGCTTCTGGGTCCCTGCAGAATCCATTGAGATTTTCTTGATGTTGCATTTTGGCTGAAAGCAGCTAAACCCCTGCTGGAAGCAATCATTTCACAGCAAACCCAGACCGGGCGAGAAACCTTGGCAGAGAGTCCTCTCTGTGGAGGAGGGGATGGTGCTTCTTCCCCCTGCCCCGGCTCTGCCCTCATCCCCTCCGCTCCAGATCCCAGTCTCCCCCTGTCCTGCCTGGGCAATTCTGCTCCTTTCCATCAAAAATATCAGTGTTCTGTGTGCTTCTGCCACCCAAGCACACGAGCAACTTTCCGGAGTATTTTCTGTGTGTGGGAGGAGATCCAAGAGGGGACACCAAGCCTCAGTGGCCCCACCACCCATCAAAGGAGCCCCTCCTCCATTAGCCACGCAGGGCGCTGGATGCTGGCCAAGCATCCTGTCTCATCTTCCCGCATCATCGTCATCTTGCTTCATCCGCCCAGCCAGCCTAGGCGGTGGTATTATTATTACCCTCATTTTACCCATAAGAAAACTGAGCTCAAAGAAAGTAACTCCTTCCCCAAGGTCC